TAAAACGATTACAAAAGAAAAAGAAAAATCCTCACAACTAGAACAATCTGTAACGTCACGCTAAGCAGAAAAGATGGACGCTGCAAAGGGTGCTATTTTGCTTGGCTCCACAATTGATGTCCATGGAAGCCGTTGCCAAGAGATCAAACAATGCACTGCACTGAGTCAATCTGCCGCATGGGAGCGCTTTAAAGTGTTGACCAGCAAGGATGTCACTTTGAGGATTAAAGTGTGCCTGCCCCGAGTCAAGGAATTGCCTCATAGCCATGTGACAACTGGACATCGAATAAAGAAGACTAAAGAAGGTTCTAGACACTTGCATTAGGGTGCTGGCAAAGCCCTACGACTGCCAAAAGAATAAGGAGATCTGTCTTGGAAGAAATGCAGCCAGAATGCTCCTCAGAAACAGACTTCTCCTTAGAGGACTTTGTCTCGTGGACTTTGGACATGCCTGTTGTCAGGAGAGACCAGTCCCCGGGAAAGAACATCATGTTTGGTAACGTAGAAGAGCAGCATCCAAGGGGTAGATCCCTCCACAATGTGGGTTGTCACGCTGGCTGCAACAATGGGCTCAAACATAGGAACCATTGCGAGAGTGATGCAGGATCTGGCAGTGTTTCTTTCAGTGGTACATAGGGTCACTCTGGGTCAGAATGGACTGGAGACCACCTAACCACACCAAAGTTTTCCCACAGTCAGCAGTGGCTATGCGCTAGACAGCAGGCTTCCTGAAAAGCAGACAACATTTTAGGAATCGTGTGATGGCTCATTGCAGAGAAACTTGCGTCTGAGGCTGCCTGCACGTGACGGCAAAGGAGAATCTGGGCATCTGAGGAAGCAGAAACCTAGGAGTAAAGACTGAGCCTGTGGGAGAAGGAATCCATCGTGGCAGATGACCTTCAGAGATTCCTGTATGAAAAAGCCCCAAGTGTCGAAGGACACCATACTATTGTTATATCCGACAGAGATGGGGCGCCTGTTATTAAAGCGGCCAATGATGATGCTCCAGAGCCTGCTTTGAGACCTGACTTCTTATCTACTTCTGCTCTTGCAATAGATCGTGGGAGCAAACTTGGACTCTCAGGAAACAAAAGCAGGTAGATTACACCTTCCAGCTGGCTCAATGTAATCGTTTACGTTTGCTGGTGCGTGTCACAGGCAACAGCAATGCCCATATAGGAATTGGCAGCCTAGAAAAGGAAGGTGCTCCAGCAGTTGAAGAACTGAGACAAGGGGTGGAAGTTTCTTAATCAGATATTGGTCTCCATGTCTACCTTATCTTCATTACACAGATACAATATCCACTCAGCTCTCTCGAGACCACATGGATACTCAGGTCCCCGGACTCAAGAAAGGGCCCTCTTTCCCACATTATGCTAAAAGGGGGAGCCTGTGGATGAAATTTCTGGACAAATTGATTGTGATAATTCCTTGTTGAGGGTTTTTTTTTTTCTCTTATTTTGTGAGATCTGGGAATACCACAAAAATGGGTCACGCTACCACTGCTCATGTAAAGCGGAGCATTGTCACACGCTGACCGCCAGACTCTCTCCAGAGATCAGAATCAAAATGATGCAGTGATCCCTTGTGGACCATTAAGTGCTCCCTATTGCAAAATATGCCTAGGCCCACAGAAGGAAATAGACCCTTTTTAAAAAAAATCATTTTATTAGGGGCTCATACAACTCTTATCACAATCCATACATACATCAATTGTGTAAA